CAACCTATGTAGACAATACATTGTGCTTTTAGAACCTCAGCTAAAATAGATCATCATTGCACAATATAGGCTGAACTCGATAGACTCGCATCTTTTTCAACCTAACTATGTAACTATATAACAATTTTTCTACATATTTCCCCAAAATGATGCATGATAGATATTACTAGACATGTGCGATTCGGTTCGTTCCAAAATTCGTTTCGGACGAATTTTCGGAAATTCGGATGCATACGAATTCCGAATTACAGCTAAGACGAATGCAAACGAATCCGAATTCCCGATTTCCCAAAATTCGTTAGCGGTAGTCCGGCCAAAATTCTTTTATGGACGAAATTCGTTATTGGACTAATTACGTTGCAGCAAAATGACATCAGGGGGGAAAAATTTTTTTTATTTTTTTTAACAGTCTGCAGAAGATGAAAAAAATAAAGCGTGAGGTCCCCCCCAATTCATAGCAATGTTAGGAGGGACCCCCCCCCCCGTTATAACACAAAAAAAGTGTGTGAGGTTCCCTTTAGGTGTGGTAGGAATTTTAAAGGGGAACCCCAGCCCCCAAAAATGGGGGGAAAAATGTGGGGTCCCCCCTAACAGTCCTACCAGACCCTTGAACCGAGCACTGGCCCGGCAGGGCAGGAATGGGGGGGGGGGATTGAGCGCCCCCCCTCTCTGCGCCTTACCAGGCCGCGTGCCCTCGGCATTGGGAGGGTGTCCCCATGCCGATGGGGACAAGGGCCTCTTCCCCACAACCCTGACCCGAAGGTTGTAGGGGTCTGCGGGTAAGGGGGCTTATTTGCATCGGGATACCCATTTAAATAAGGGGGCACCCAGCTGCCGCCCCCCCCATGTGAATGAGTAAGGGGTACTTGTACCCCTACCCATTCACTAAAGGGTTAAATCAAATAGTTAGTAAAAAGTCCAGACTTTTGACAAAATCCTTTAATTGAAAAAAAAACCAAACAGTCAATTTTTGACTATTCTTTTAATAAAAAAAAGGCTCCATCGATGTAATCCAGCGTCAATCACAATGCACAACCCCCGCCAACCCGCCGAAATAAAAAAAGTCCCGCCGCATTGACGACCACCCGAACCCGTCACAGCTCGCTCCGCCCATTTGACATTCTCAGCCGTCAAATACTACATAGCATTCGGAAACTCCCGAATACTATTCATGAGTTTCCGAATGCTATTCGGGTCTGTGAGCCGAGGGTTCATATAAAAAGAATTCTGACACCTCGGCTTACAGACCTGGATAGCATTCAGAAACTCATGAATAGTATTCGGGAGTTCCCGAATGCTATGTAGCATTTGACAGCTGAGAATAGGTTTACTTAAAATCAGCTACATCATGACTCTATGACCTGTAATAATGGTTATCCCATGCATTAACAGATGCATATACAGTCAGATTAAAACAAGACATCTGTGCACCAAGTTCACCCCCCAAAAAAATAAGAAAATAATGTACTGTGTGTATATATATATATATTTGTAACAGACACTGTTTTGTTTTTAAGAATAATACTAATATTTATTATTGTTGTTATTATTATTACTTCCAAATAAGAATCGCATTCATGTTCATGGCCCCAACAGCAGAAGGATATCATCACGCTGAGCCTATAAAACAAGGCGTGTGAATTTACATTAGGTCTCGTTCACACCTAGGCGTATTGCATATGCGCGTCTGTCGCACGTTTTTTTTTTACTGCGATTCGCGGTAAAAAAGTTGCACGACCGTCGCGCGTTTCCGAAGGCTACTTGGCTGTATCCCAATGGAAACGCGCTACAAAACGGCCCAAAGTAGTACCTGTACCTTTTCAGGCGTGGGACGTTT